GGCCAATTGCAGCTCCCAGTGGCTGTGGTTCGCTGCTCCAGGCCAATGGGAGCTGGCTGGAAGCGGCGCGGGCCGAGGGACATACTGGCCACTGCTTCCAGCAGCTCCCATTGGCCTGGAGCAGTGAACCGCGACCACTGGGAGCCGCGATTGGCTGAACCGGCGGACGCGGCAGGTACACAAACTGGCCTGGCCCGCCCTGCCAGGGGCTTTCCCTGAACAAGCGGTGGAACAAGTTTGGGAACCACTGATATATAGTTTCAGTTCAATGTGATTCACTGTAGGCAGCATGGCGGAAGTGGGTGTTTAAGAGTGACCTCCATGGGGGGCAGGGTAGGGGCATTTTGATGAGCTCACATTTAATCGTGCATAGGAGGCTGCATGAAACAAGGCATGGAAGTGACAGTTTAATTCCTATTCCTGTTACCCTCATCCTTCCTTCTACTTACTTTTGTTTGTTACATTCACTTGTTGGGTCTTGTGGTTTTTTTTTTTTAAATTGGATTCTGTAAGTTCTTGGGTCAGGCAACAACTCATACTTTGAGTGTTCAGTGTCTCAAAGGATCTCCAATCCTTGCTGGGGCCTCTGGACACTACAGTTATATAAATAATGCTATTTAGGGCATTCAGTTCTATAGTTAATTTAGGTGGTATTTTTAGTTCTCTTTGTGTACCATCTTTTGAAGCAATTCAATAGCAGCATTCCTATGTTAATGTCAGTGTGGAGTGTGACACATTAATGAATTTGAATTGGAGAAAATTGAATACAAAATAGAAAAAATTGGATATTCTAAATTGAAGGTATTACAAGCACAGCCTAGTAGGTGGATCATTGCTGATGTCTAGAATAGTGCTCTCCAAAGGCAATACTCCTTTATTAATAAATTTCTCAGTGTGCCCATAAACTGTACAGTTATTTTTATTGCTTTTGTCAATAATCAGTGCTTATCAAGGATATCACTTTATTGCATTTTACTTGAATTCTTCTAAATTTTTCATGCAAACTAAGTATAGGTTAGATACATCCCTGGTGTGACTCCATTGATTTAGTTAAAGTTACTGCAGGGTTGAGTTTGACGCATGAAAGAAAAAATAAAAACGATTTTATATAAAAGCCATGTCAGGAACTAGTGTTGTGCAGCAGCAATTGGACAGTGTAACAGATGTCAATTTGAACTGATGTCAATTTTAACTATTAAAAGAATTCTTTAACTTTGTTTACCTTTATATTCTGATTTTACCTTTATATTCTCCATGTACACATTAAAAGATTGTGGATATTTTTGTTATGCTCTGTAAATTGTTCGAACTTGCTTCTAAGCATCCTTCATTTGTTACTGTCATAAGACAGTGTTTGGTTTACATTTATATACCAAATGAGATAACTCTAAAACTGGGATTGCCACAGAGAAAAGTGAGGTTCTTAAACATTAACTAAGCTAACTGCAGATGTTGAGCTGTCACAGTTAGAGGCAACATGGGCCATTGGATAAAGCACTGGTCTTTGTTAGTAGGTGAGGATTTTCTTTCTTGGCAAGACTGTCATTCAGAAGCTTGGATACCCTGGTATAGGTCAAGGAGATAAGAACCTGAATACAATACAGTTGCTCTGCTACTTCCTAGTGTGTGACCTTGGGCAAGTTGTTTAATCTGTTGCTTTTTTAACGTATGAGGGTGAAGAACTTATATATACCATTGTAAAGGATTTTAAGAAAGCAGTATAAAAATTGGTGGTATAAATCATTAAGTATACAGTCCTCCTTGTTGTGGGCCCAGCTGCCTAATGATTGATCACAGTTAGTTAGATCAAAGTAAAAGTGCAGAAAATGCGAATATCCGTATTCGGTAATAATGCCCCTTCCCTTGGTTTTATTTTTTTCAATTGTGTTTTTAATGGTAAAGACTTGAAAACTATATTCCAAAATGCACACTGGACAAACAAAGAGAATTAAAATCTTAAAATACTTGGAAAAATTAAGATTCAAGTCTAGCGACTTTGATACCCAGAAAATGTGAACAGAAAACCTAGTAAAAGTTGAGTAACTCCAAACTATACCTTTTTGTTTTTGAGTGTGCCCCATGTCATCCTTCCAGACTGTAAACTCTCCATAGCGGAGATTGCATTTTACTACTTTCATAGAATGGCCCCAGTGTACTCAGTTCTGTTATAATGCACCACCATTGTGACAAAGTGTCTGTTGCAGTGGGTTTCGTACACTTCCATTTATATAGCCATAACTCTGGATGACCTTGACCATTTTTGTTTTAAACTACATTAAAATAAATAGACCCATCAGTTCTTCTAGATCCACTTATATACATAATGACATAAATATAACTGAAATTAATCAGCCTCCCCACACCACTACCAGAGTTCAATACTGCTACTGTCCAGCCCTGTGTTACCAAGTACGGGTGTACTTGCCCTAAATATTTAAAGTATGATTGGCTGACACAACTGATAAGTTTCTTAACACCCCCGCCCCCAAAAATGAGTCTGCTTAGGTTGTTACCAACATTTTTCATTTGTTTTGCCTTCTGTTCAGAGTGCAGCGCTTTATAATCTAGCTAACATATCTTTCATTATATTTATGTATACTAGAACATTTATTTTTACTTGCGTTCTCACTTTCAATGATCAAGGGATACAGCATGCTCTCTGTGTTTTGCTTTTTTCCATCACTGCAAAGCCTACTTTGGTGATTAATAGTTGACATGAATGTTATTAGTAGCTTAGATTGTATTACATTTGAAAGTTATACTCGTATGGAGGCTTTAATAGTTGTCAAGTAAATGAATTGGTGAAAATTGAATGACTTATTTATTTTGTGTATGTTTAGACTGTCAGTTTGTGTGATACATTTGTGTTCAGTCACATTCTTGCTGTCTAACTTTTAAATTGCCAAGGATCGTCATGTCAAGAACCATTTAATTTTACTCATGCACATGAAATGTAACCCTGTGGTGGTTTTGGTTGACTTTCAGAATACAAAATGTGACACAGTAACAGTTTCATGAGAGATCTGAGATCACTTCTGGTAGATGGAAAAGGGTCTACGTTTACTCTTAAACTGTCAAATTTTGTTAATTTGTGCATTTTGAAATGCAAGGAAAACTGTCAAAATTCCCCTTTGTTGTATTTTCCCCCCAAATGATGTAAATTTAAAAATAACATTGGCAATAATTTTGCATAGTGTGTTTTCATAGTAAGAAGTAGAAAACAAAACTTTTTCCTTCCCCTCCCCATCTATAGGAGTGGTATCAAATTATATTCTTAGTGTTTGGTGTTTTTGAGGATGAACAAAGCCACTGTTAGTAAGATGGTGAGTGCCCTACTACTCCCTTAAAATCAGGTCTTGCACCTTTTAAGATTGAGTCCATAGTAAATGCACTTTTAAAATTTTAAAATTGAAAATCTGGTCTTCTTTCCATCTCAGATTTGAAGTGGTTTGCTTTGATCATTTTCACATTTGGATCCCATTTACTTTTGCAGAAAGAAAGTCTTTATTCTCATGCCTCCTTTTTCATGCTGCATATCATCATAGGAACATACAGAACATTCCTAGAATGGAATTTTACAGCAGTTATTTATTTTTACTGTAAAAATATGCTTCTCATATTTATCAGTTGAGTTTTCATATTATTGCTGATCTCTTCCAAAATCAAATTTATTCTCATAGAGCTGTTATAAATAAATAAAAAGCAGTTTTAGTGGTGGCTTGCAAATATGATAAGTATGACATCAATAAGAATTTTACTTTAAAAGCTCTCTGAGCCTGTTTTCCATAACGGAGGATGATGTCATGTTCATAAAGTTAAATTACTTATTGGGATGTCCAGAAAATCTGTCCAGTAAAAAGTCTATAAAATATGTACATGCATACAATGCTTTTGTCTGATTTAATTTTAGTAGTACAACTGAATTGCCTCAATCTGGAATTCAGTGTTTGAGTCTAGTTTTGTTAAATCATTGTATATAATAGTTGGTACAGTAACATAAAATACTAGTTTCTATTATATTTTACCATTGCAACTGAACTGTCAAATCGAAAAACAAATAGCAAGATCTATTAGCTATAGGAAAGTTATAATTCATGGGTGATGCTGAAACTTACTTTGAAAGTTATGTTGAAGATACTAATCACAAGTTTGAAAATAGGAGTTCTGTGTTTCTTGTTTGTATGGTGAAGTTTTGTATTGGTAGCTTAGAACAGTTCTAAGGTGGAACTCTGCTTCTTGTTTTTGGTTTTTTTCCTTGTCCACTTTCCATGGACTATCCTTCCTTCCCAGTAAAGATGAACAATAATATCTTATATAATAGTGCTTTCCATGCAGGAGAATCTGAGTGCCCTCCAAAGTATATCCTTGCAGAATCACTCAATATAACTCACTCAGGGTTGGAGAGGGTGACATCCAGATGGACAAATGGCACCCATGGTTGAGAGAGGGTAATTATGACTAAGAATGCTAGGATAAGCCCTTAGCAAGATTTAATAAGATCTTCCACCTGTTGCCATCCCCAGTAGGGGAGGACCTCAGAGTTTTTAAGGTTTTTGTTTGTTTGTTTGGTTTATTTTTTGTTGGTTTGAAGTCCTATACGTATTAACAGTTTGGTACTAAATTGATCTACACTGGATCATAGGGCTTGAATTGACCATGCTCGGAGCTGAATCTGTATTCTCAGAGAGTCTTTTTCACATCTGATGTATAGATGTTAGCCCAATATCCTCTGAACTCACAAATTCAGTGGATTACTTCTCTCCCCCCCACCCTGCTTGCTTTTGGACAGTCTTCACAAGAGTTGCACGATAACAATTTCAAAGTTCCAGGGATCAATCTGTCCACAAACGATTTTGGTATTAGTGGAAATTACTTCTGTGGATCTCCTGTATATGTCTGAGAATAGATTATACCCCTCAAAGTGAGTTCCAGAAATAGACTTCACATTATGTTATTGCATGGAAATCTTATATTTTGTTTTTCAGAGATGCGTGATAAAATGAGGAAGTGGAGGGAAGAAAACTATCGGAACAGCGAGCAGATAGTGGAAGTTGGAGAAGAATTAATTAATGAATATGCATCTAAGCTTGGGGATGACAGTAGGTTGAAATTATTTGAAAAGCTTTCACTGTCTGTAACTGTTAGTATATGTTAGTTTTGTTACTCTGCTATTCTCCTGTTATACTCTCCATATTATTTTTACCCTTTTGTTGTGATTTTGCATCTACTAATGTTGAGTACACACATTATTTTTTCAATTTTCTAATTTGCCAGTATTCCAAGGCCTTAGTTTGCTTCTCAAAGATGGTGTGTAGAGGAAGTAGGTGAAAAAAATACCTAATTGAGCGTAGGGGTGCTGGAACAATTTTTATAATGAAGGTGTTGAGAGCCATTGAACCAAACTGTAAACCCTGTATATAATGGTAACCACTTCAAGCCAGGGGGTGCTGCTGCATCCCCAGTTCCAGCACCTATGATTGCGCTTTTAGGTTGGCACATAGTGACCAGTCATAAGAATATACTGTGAACATTTGACAGAGATCTGTTATCTAGCTGTCACTCAACAGGTCCTCTATACTTCAGAGGAATGTCAAAAAATATGAGGGGAGTTTTTTAATAAGGAGAAGGGAATGTTATTTCTTAAATTAAGCCATAAGTGATACTATATTGTAGAAATTAATATGAGAGCTGTTCTTATGATAGAGTTGCATTTGTGATGCTATAGTTTAGGGCACGTCTGGGTTTCTGCAATACATAAAATGATTATTTTCAGGGGATTTTAATTACTTGACACTATGTCTCTCTGGACAGAAACTTGGCATACAGTGCTTCAGACCAGAAGGGAATTGTTCAGAAATAACAATGCAATATCACATTTATGTAAGAGCAGTATCAAAAACAAAATACTTCATGGCAAGAATGCTTTATGGGTTTGCATATGAATCCCATACAGGCAGGAAGGGATAAATAGCCATGATTTGTTTTTAATGTTCATTCCTCTTTCTTTGGCTTTCCTTTTTATAATTTGGTTAACCTAATACAAGCAGGACATTTTCCTTTTAATTTTTTTCATTTGCCAGCCTTTCCTTTACAGTTGCTATTGAAGTTTTGCAACCAGAGTGATGAAATATATTTATTAGTTGAAGTCTGAAGAGCTTTAAACAAGTCCCTGTTTAATTTTAATAAATTATTATTTCTTTAACAGCAGACCAGTGATTAAAAATCTGGCAAAATATATCCTGGACTAACTCTTGCACTCATTTTCTTAATAGTTGATCAGAAATCTTTCAACTTGCAATGTTCCTGGAAACTATAAAGGTGGCTCCCTGTACCATGGTATTTCCTCCAGATTTCTTGAAATGAGAGGGATCTTAAAATCCTAACCATTACGAATAGTAATCCTCTTTAGATAGTTATATCGATAATCTCTGCAAACAGACTTCCCTATGTATATTATAGCACAATCTTCTTGGGACGAAGAGTCTTTAAGTACCTGATAAGGGTCTTGCATGTGCTGCCTCCTTTCTGCAACTACACCTCTACCTTGATATAACGCTGTCCTTGTGATCCAAAAAATCTTACTGCGTTATATTGAACTTGATTTGATCCACCGGAGTGCGCAGCTTTACCGAGTTATATCCAAATTCGTGTTATATCGGGTCACGTTATATCGAGGTAGCGGTGTATTATAAATGCATTGTAGGACTGCATGCATAGGTGCTGGAGTGCTGCCGCACCCCCTGGCTTGAAGTAGTTTCCATTATATACAAGGTTTACAGTTTGGTTCATTGGTTCTCAGCAGCCCTGACTCCATGGGTGGATTTGATAGTGGCTCCAGCAGGAAGTTGGTGGTGAAATTAACGCAGGGCGTAACAAAGAGGCTATTGCCATTTTTGTCTGTAAATAAACAGAAACTCACTGTGGATTAGCTTATTTTATTAGGATCTTGTTAATCACTCATGAGGAAAACTACATTTTATTATGGGCTGGTGCTGGCTTTGTGGGGTGCTCTGGCTTTGTGGGGTGCCTCCCCACCCCTTCTTTACCAGAGCCCTTGCACAGTAGGCCACTCCATTGCCCTGCATCACAGGCTGAGTCACTCTCATCATGCCCTGTGTTGTCCAGTCCAATTTTCATCATTTTCAGAGTAAGTGTGTAGACTGGACTGTGTCCCATATATTCCCCAATTTCCCCACCAACTCCCCTGGGGAGACATAAGAGAGAATGAACCATATGTGACATGTGTTAGCCATGTTGCTTAATGCACTACTGGAAGGCAGTACGAACCTATATAGAATAGAAAATTAATGAATGCCACAGAGAGGGTAAATTGAGTTTCTCTGTTTACACTGTCCCAATCATACAGAGGATATCCAATAAAACTGAAAGGAAACCATTTTCAAATTGATAAAAAGAAACATCATTTAAAAGAACACCTTATTTATCCTGTTGAACTTGGCAAAAGCTGTTGAGTGTTTAATAGTGATCAAAGAAGGACTGAACTTTTATATGGATGGTCAGAAAATCCAAATCCTATTGGATGGGATTTAAAAATATATAAAAGCCCTTGGCTTCCCCCAGGGGAAGCTTATTGTATAACTGTCAGCTGCAGGGGTTCTTGTGCTAAGCATCTGGAGCTAGCTACTACTAGAGACAGGATACCAGACTAGTGGACTACGGCGTGATGTGCTCCAATAAAATCTGATTTTCTTTGTAGTAACTTAGAATTTTTTTTTTAAATGTAACTTTTCTTTGAATGAAATTAGAAATACCTGTACAGTGAGCAATAGCCTTTATTCTGGTAGGGGAAAAGGTTAACTTTATTGTTTAGATTTGTGCTTTCTTTCTTTTAAAATTCCTATAAAAAAGATTAATTTGTTTTCCCTCAGGTTCTCTGGGCACCAGTGGTGTTGGCTATTTGTCCTCTTTGTGGAAGATTTTCGCTTCAGGCCTGATCCTGCAAGGAGCTGAGCACCCTTGCCTCCCATTAACTTAATATTCAGCTCACTCTGGGGAGTATGTTACATACTTCCCTCCCCTTCCCCCTGGGTTCTCTGTCTTGTCTAACAGGACTATAAGCTATCCCTGGCAGGGACTGTCTCTCACTCTGTACAGTGCCTAGCACAGTGGGGCCTCATGTTCAGTTGCCTCCTACACAGTATCCTAATACAAATAACATGTGTCAGTGGAATAAGCTAATTCCTGCAGAAAAGGGAAGAAGGCAATATTGTACTTACAGTAAGGTAGTGAAACAGTTAAGGGAAAAGTTGTTTTCTTTCTAGCACATGGCTGCTCTCCAGATCTGGTCACAGTGCATTTCATAATGGGTCTGTTTCAACAGAAAACTGTAGATACAATGTTAAGAAAAGCAAAGAGTTTTTTGCCTTTCAAGATGTCAAAGGATACTTTGTTACTGAAGCAATAAAATCACATAAGTGTACTTTTAATTAATTCCAGCAGTGCGTTTAAATGTCCCTGTTTCAGTAATGATGTACAGGAGTGGTAGGGGAAAATATACAAAGACGGAATTCATTAATCTTATTTACATTTTAGGTGTTTCCCACCATTTTGAAAAATCAATTCTCCATATTTAATATGTCTCTCTTATGTCTAGTATGGATAATATATGAACAGGTGATGCTTGCTGCCCTGGACTGCAGTCGGGATGACTTGGCATCGGTAAGTTGTCAAGCTGATTTTTCACTCAAACCTTAAGGGTTTTTTTGTTTTTTTTTTCCACATGAACCTCTTCCAGATTAGTTCTTTGGACAGTTTTATAGGATGCTAGCAACTATGTAGCTCGGACTTGTAGAATCTCAAGAAATATACTGCTGGGGAGAAACCTCCTCCACCCACCTTAATGTGTAACTCTTATTTGGGCAGATCATGTTTCTTCTTGCTGTGAAAATATTTATAGCTACTCTGATATGGGCTGAAAGTCAGGAATAATATTAAAACTGCCATATTATCTAGAGAATATTTGTTGGAAACCTCTCAAATTGTATCACGTTTTCAAACACTTTGAGATAAAGTGTCAGTGCTGTGCATGTGAATTTAGCTGCATAATAAATGTTAACATTAACAGGAGTCATGTAGCTAAATGCTTGCACAGTGCATTAAGAAGGCCAATATGTATGATTCAGCTGCTTGCAGCATTTTTAAAGATGGATATTAAAGCAAAAATTTTGGCTGTAGCCTTTATTACTCCTTCATGATATTTAAAGAGTCAGAAACTTAAACATGCTTTGTTTTTTTATACGACAAATATATTGAGTTGTATTCTTTCCTTTCCTCCTCCCCATGCGTCCTGAGGAGAAAGAACTGGAGCTGAAGTTGCAGCCTTCTGTGCATCACTTTTCACCCCCTGAAAGCACACCAGAGTCCTCCTGCAAAGACAAAAGGGAGGACCTGATAGTCACATGAGGCTTGGTCCTACACCTTTAAAATCAGTGGACTTTTTTTTCCCATTGGCTTGAATGAGAACAGGATTACGCCCATGTAAAACAACTGGGAATGAGGGGGAGAAGTGGTTTAACAAATGTTTGATGTATCAAAGCCAAAAAACAAGTGCCCTTGCCATTAATCATTTTTTAAAGTTACTGCATTTCAGCCACAGAAGTTGGTCAGCAGTAGAAAAACTTTTTTGCAGAATACAGTAACGTAATATACCATATTGCACTTTCTGCAAGCCTCATGAATTCCTCTCATAGATAAGTCTTCTCTTCCACTAAGGAAATAAATAAATAGGATGAGAGAGAAGCCTCTTTTTATACTCAAAAAGAAGAACAGGAGTACTTGTGGCACCTTAGAGACTAACAAATTTATTAGAGCATAAGCATGCATCCGAAGAAGTGGGCTGTAGTCCACGAAAGCTTATGCT